AACAACATTTCTGCGATCGCCTCCGGTCAATCCTCCAATTACATCGTGTAATTAGATAGCAAGAGAATGAGTCGCATTGCGGAACAACTGCGACTACCGTTTCGTCTGATTACGTCGCGCGCTTTGTGCGATTAATTGTTATCGGACTTCTTGAAAAGAAATCATCAGAAGCGTAATCTTCCGCGACGTACTATTCAACTTTGACGTTCGATAAGAGAAAAAGCTTTGACTAATTGAGAATAATGGATTGCTGTATCATAATCTTCCAATACGTATTATCTCTACCATATCTTTAACGTTTGATAAGAGAAATCAGACTTTATCCAGTTATTTTCGATCATCTTTATACGTTTCCGAAACGTATCGATCAATTTTTATTTTCAATTATCCTCAGCCTTATACAATTTAACAATATGATTTACGACATTTTTCAACTTAGTTGATATTGTGATGATTTTTTATATTAACTCCACACCATGTGTATATGATTTTATAGTCGCTTCCACAAGTTTATAGAAATTTATATAAAACTATGTTCAGTTGTGTGTGAGATTCGCGCGAAAGACGTGCGCGAGTATACGACGAGCTTATGTTCTAAAGACACCAGCCTTTTTATCTGCGTCTCCATCCGCGCGTTTTTCTCTTTTATTCCTTTTACGCTATTCTATTTCTCGTCCACTCACCCTCGCCAACCTGCCGTCGACGGTTTCTAGGTGTCTCGGTTGCGGGTAACCGTCGGAATCACTTCTTTTGCTCTTATTCCCGTCGCGCGACGTCGTCCTCTTTGTCTATCGTTTTTCCTCTCTTTCTCTCTCTTCGGTTTTTCCATCTTTTCGCATTCGGTACGCTTCAGACAATCGGACGCGGTTTTCCGAAGGGAAAAGGTAACGATCGACTGAATTCCACGATAATTGCTGGAGGCTTCGCTTCCACTTCGCAGACACAGACGCGATTCGCGGATGCATTTTAATCTCGCGACCCTCGGAGACCTTCCCGTCTCTTCTCTCTCCCCGCTTACTCGATCCACGGATTTTCTCGATGTTTATTGTTTTCGCACCGATATCTCTCCCGCCACCATCTCATTTCCTTTTCTCGACGATTTCCAGTCGTGAAGCTATCTGGAGCGAAATCAGCTTCAACTTTGGGATCATTATTACGGATTTACGAAATATAATAGAAAGTGGGAAAAGATTTACTTACAAAAATTGGCGCGGTAATATTTATATTTATTATATAGTCAGATACCGTTGTGTTAGATGATGGACAATAGAAATCATTTTTATTTCACGTGTTTTTGTTCAACTTTTAACGCATAGAGCGTAATAAGAGGAAAATTATAACAATCTGTTCCTATTCTGTATTTCTCTCTCTCTCTCTCAATCACTCTTTCTGCGTTTGACATACATCGAGATTGTGTGGCTTAATTTATTACTCACAGTGGAGACGTAATGCTAAAATTGCTCGGGCTAATGACGCAATGCAAACGCACGTTATTTCGCGCGCGCCCCGAAATTTCGGTCCCAATCAACATCAATCCGACGAAACTTTGCATCATTCGCATTTTAGTTTTCACGCCCTGTGTGTGTAGACAGCCGTGCGAAATGCAGACCATTAGCGAAAGCCGCGAGGTCGACACTTTTGGGATCGATATATCGTTCCTCTGTTAGCGTGCTACGCAAAGAGAGAGTAGACTTGATTTGATTGTATCGTTTCACACATTGATTATGCAAACACATCGCACAAATAGATAGACTTCGCCCGTATCATTTCGTTGCATTCTCGAGAGAAATTACGCATTTTGCCAAGAGGGGGAAAGAAAAAGAAGAGGAAAGGGAAGAAGAGAGAGAAAGAAAGAGAAAGCTATTAACAGCCGTGTGAGTAAAACGAATCGCGTTTAAGGCAGACAAACGTGATGTTTGCATTCACGCAATTATCATACATGCTAATGACGTTTTTAATATTTTCGCGCTGTGTTAATTGCCGCCATTTCGCGCTCACGTGAACACGAAGAAGAGAGTAAGAGAGAGAGCAGTTTTCTTCTCATTTTATGATATCGCGTCGAAATTCCGGACGCGTGTCGAATCTCTCTCATGATAATTCAAAGTAGCCGTTTCAAATAGAGTCCGTAAAGGATTTATGGTTTCGCTTTATGGAGAAAGTTTGGTGCACGGACGCGCATCTCGTAGACTTTAAAAGGATCATTATGACTGTTTACAGTCATCCTCTGGGCTACGATAGTAAGGGATTGTGTACACACACACTCTTTATTGTTGGTGATATTAAATATTTTTGTAGTAGCACGCGAGCGAAAACAAGCAAACACGGCAACAAGGAGACAAAGAGAGTGACAACGAGGAGTTTCACGAGCTCGTTAAATTGCGATCGGAATAACGCACGGTCGGCTTTATACCGTTGTCTCGTCGCAGAAGCATAATCGAACTGTGACACACTTGCAAATGCACGTTTAAATAATCTCCAGAGTCGAGGTTATTGGTCGTAACGCACAATGTAACGCGTCGCCTCTCCACCTCTTTCCCCCCCTCCCCTCAGCGTAATTATTGTAGGTCGGCAGCGCCCGGTTAATTACAGAGCGACACACCTACGCCTGTGCGCATGCGAACTATATCGCATGACGAAAATGAGATCATTTGGTCCGATTGTGTGAAACATATTACAATTCCATCAACGGAATCTTTCGGAACTGCACAAAAAAAATAGTATACGCATTTAAAACAATATTATATTTATTATGTGTTCAGATAAACATAAAAACATCCAGTAGAACATCAAAATTCTAATTTCTAAAAAAAATACGTCCCTGCACATTTCTGGTGCATTTTAATTTTCAGGAAAATAAATGATCTATAAAAACTAGCTACGGTAAAAGACCGCCACATTTAAGCGGTAGCAGCTTAACCTTTGTTAAGTCTGTATTAAAAATTTTATGTTCCGTCGCGCTCACCGTGTTTTATGGCTAACACCCCGTCTTCTCCAGCTGCATATTTTAATTAGGTTTCGAGGTGGTGTGGCTTACGCGCGCACCAGAGTCGCTTGAATATTCCATACCGCTGGGTCATCGGCTCGCGCAATATGCGCCTCCATTGCCTGATAATTATTAGGGAGGGTTTTGGCCCTCGACGCCCCTTTGTAGGTGCGAGGTGCTCGCTCGGACGAAATAGGACCGTAAAGGGGCCACTTTCGCTGAGAAGGGAGTGCGCAGGAGTGAAATTTCGCGCGTGTTCGACCCCATACAGCCACCTCGAGACACAGTTCGCCAGATGTTTAAGGTCGCTGAAAAAACTTTTACAAAAGTTATATCTCTTCAGTAGAGTGCATAATAAAAGTTTTTAAACGTAATGAGTATACACGAGAGTGATTTACAATAGTAGAGAATGTTTTCGTGTCACTTCAAGTTAAAGTTAAAATTTTGAATGTTACTTTGAATGTTTAATAATAAAATTGTATGAAAGACATTGTGTGCTGCATTATAATCGCTTAATTCCAGAGTTAGGATTGTAGAAAAAATTCTCACTTTCTCTCATTTACGCGTTCTAGAAGTTGTTAAGACATGCGCGTCCACCATAGCGACGGAAATTAAATTTTTATCCTGCGAAAAGCTCGGCGGAATTATTTTTTTCCCCACCGAAGTGCAATATTCATGCAATTGTGCGGTGTAATTACTTGGCGCAGAATTTGCTCGCTTGGATGGTTCGCGTGTTCGCTTTGGACAATTACTACATACAATTACAAAGAGGTCGTAATAAATGTCGACTTACTCAGGCGAGTAATAGCTCGTCGTGCAGTGGAAAAGCAAATAAAATAATTTTTACACTTTATTTTGTTCAGAGCAATATTCAAAAAATTGCATCGCCGTAAAATTCTCGTAATGCACGAAGCCGACTCGTTAATAATTATCGTTAATTGGAATCACCGATCCAGGTAGTATTCAACACAGGTATTTAATATTACAAATATTATTTTTAATAAAAATTTTACATGTTGTGTAGTGAACAATAATCATTTTTATTAAAAAATCGACAAATTATTGCTTCACCATTAAAAGAGAGAATATAATAATTGTACATAAGGTCTTCTCTTTTTAATTTCGCTTATTTAAACTCTTTCCGGTTCTACACTGAGTTTGCTAATTAAAGTGGAATAGAGTCGTCGAAAGGCAGACTAAACGAGGCAGATATGTAAGAAGCTTAAAAACTCGAGAATCGTTCGTGCGAAATAATTACGTGTAACATAATACGTTGAAGACGTTGCCACAATTTTGTATTTTATTTCTACCAAATTCTCTCTTTCTCTCTCTCTTCTTCAACTTTCTAATTATTATACTTCTTAATAGTAATTAAGAAAAGTATATATATAATTAATATATATACTGCGCGTATTAAAAATGTAAAATTAATACGCTTATCTGTACGTAGAAAACTTTAACATAAAATATCCTTCCGCTACAAATATTAACAGAGTACAAACACAGAAAGAGCACATTCATCACAAAGAATTAACGCTTTCACGAGAAAAAGTTAATTCTTCTCATTTAAGCCATTTAGTCTCAAAATTACATGTTTGCGTCCCTTGCAAATGAAGAAAAACTACTACCCGTGATCTGAGCGTAGTTTCACTTTTGGGACAAAAGAGTTACCGCATATGGCAGAGAGCGGAGGTTAAGTCGAATTCTGCAGATGATGGCGCGAATTCGGCACGAAACATGGATCGTGGAGTGCTAACGACGGAGCGGCGGAGGTTGACCGAAGAGAGGAGTGTGTCGCGGTGGATGAGGATGACGAGGAGGAAGAGGAAGAGAAGAGCAGGCGGTTGGGAGTGGGTTATGGGGTGGTTGCAGGCCGCCTGGGGAAGGAGACGGGCAGGGGGTGGAATTTCGCGCGTGCTCGGCTTCATCCCCCTCGACCGCCGCCGCCGCCGCTGCTGGATGCTGAGGGTAGCTGGACCGCGCGCGTGAGGTGTCAGTTCTGCGCGCGATCTCCTCCCTTAAAGGTGTTCAACCTGCTCGTGACCCGCTCCAACGTGCTTTATGCCAAGTGGACACGCGTAACTTTGTATACGCACGCAGCAAACCTCCTTAAGTACTTCCTATTCTTCCGGCTGCTATTTCAGATCCGGCCCTTTCTCCTCGTTCCCATGCGATTATTCGACGACGATCTAGTGAAACGGACGTCTCAGTGAAAAGTTCGGAACTCTCTCTCTTTCCTCATCTCTCTCTCACCCGAAGAAGTCGTCTCGTTCGAGTCTGGCACGTGACAATGCTTCAGCTGGCGACGATTATCATGCTGGCCGGGATTCTCGAGGACAACAATGTACGTGACAAATCGGTAGGAAAGCTGAGTCGCGTGCGTGTTGTGTCTTCTCTTACCAACGTGCACGCGATCTTTGTTAGTAGAGAATGATAAAAGAGAAAAACGCGATGTTAGTGTGTGTGTGTCTATTGAGAAGAGAAAAATGATGTAAAATTTTCATCAATCTTCCGCTTTGCATTTCGTATTTGAGCTTTGTATTTGAACGTTACATGGAGGTCTTTGTTCCTTCGATCTTGTATAATGCGCAGCACACGAACAGAGAATTGTACTCGCAATGTCGATAATTGTACATTGCAGTAGCAGGTGTTATGACATATCGATACGTCTATACGCTCTATTCTGCAGTTCGAATTTCGTGATTTCACCCACTACAAGTACCGTTCATTCTATCTTTCTCTTTTCTGTCTTGTTTAATAACGCAAATGCAACTATTAGATTTTTTCGCGCGTTTTACTGTCTTTTCCGAAAATTTCAGACGTAATTTTTTCGAAGCGCACATTTTATTTGCATATTTTTACATATTTATAACCAAAGAATTCATGTTTTATATAATGTTACTACCACTAACTACTTATAAAGAAAAAATATTTATCTCAATTATCCAATCTTTTTCCTTTCAAGATTTTTTGGGTCATATTTTTTTTTGAATTATTTGTAATAAAATGTTAATTTTATGCATAATGTTGTGAAATGAAGTAATTTCGCTTCTTCATTTAGCGTTGAATATGACCGCGATAACATCATATATGCAATCGTCGTATTATTCAAATGAGAGGCTCGGAATCAAACTACATTCGTGCGCAAAATGAGAGATGTGTGTGTACGTGTGAATACGTTTCTAACAAGTCCAAGTCTCTTAATGACAGTTGCATATCAAAACATCATCGTGCCCTGCTTCGCGAACGGTTTCTGTATTCGCAGCTCCGAGGTGCGCCTTCCCTTTCTCTCTTCATTATCATGCTAACTAATCAACCGTATCTTGCCAACGAAGAAATGCAGCGTGCAGCGTCACGTTTTTAAAAAGCCGGCGGAAATTTTCGTTGAACATGTGAATTAAACGTTCACTTTTCACGCGTCGCGATATTCCACATTAACATCATGCAAAAACGAATATCGTTAACGAAATGTCGGTGCGTTTGAATGAAGAGAATTATCGTAGGCAGATATGGCGGGGCTCTCATATAGCCAAGGCTGGCTCCTCAGGTGGCGATAATTCATCAGACTCGAGTAACTCGACCGCTCTCTCTCTCTCTCTCTCTCTCTCTCTCTTACGGATGATTAATTAATGTCAGTGGCAGCGCTCGCTTTCGCTCCCAATTTTCTTTCCTCTCTATCAACCGCATCGGCCGATGATTTTTATTATTCCAACCGGAGCTCTACTCGATTTATTTCCACGTCGATCTTACAGCCAAGACTACCGGAAGTATGAAAGACAAGTAATAAATCATATTTAAAATGTTTCCTGTGTCACGCTAGATCTCAAAACAAATATTTCAAAAATTCACGTGAAAGTTAATTTATTGTTTACAAAATGATTTGAGTTTTTCTGAGAGAAATTTAGAGATATTTTTACTTCAGATTATACGTTTTGTATTTTGAATTATGATCTTGAAGTTTTATTATTTTTTCGTGCAATATTTTGAAAATTTATCATATCTTTTAATTTATATGAGAGAATACACACAATAGCAGTTTCGGTAGACAACCGTTGCAATTTATGTTTTTATATGTATTTCAAAATATAGTTCGATAAATTATAATGGAATTATAGATAAATGTGTCAAATACTATTTCTGCTTTTTTTTACACACGAATTTATCTCTTTACCCAGTTTACATGTTTTGTCAGACAACTAACTCCTCAAACTACTCGATAGTTTCTTCGTTATATTGTGTTTTAGTACATGTTTGATATTGCCGTCAAGAGAAATGTAATTGCTTTAAATATTTCAAAGAGAGAAATTGTTTACTGCGTGAACTACATTGTTCGTGAAAACAGCGTGGAACAAGCGTCACTAAATGTATCTTCCCTTTGACTTCTTGACCTCTCTGTTTTACGTCTTTGTAAGAACACTGTATTCCTATTGTACATGCACTCTTACTTCAGAAATGCAATTATATTACTTTACCGAAATGAATTCATTTGCTGAGTTGAAAGTAATCATTATTGTAGAAACATTACATCCGAACGATTTAACACATATTTATTAAACCATTTATTCAATCATTTATTTTGTTAGAATATTTTATGATGCTTTTTTATAATAGAATGATTATTTTCTTTGAGAAATATTAGATTTCTATTTTTGCACATCAAATACTGAATACGTACATATTACTTTAAGCATTATTACTTGATTGACTCCAACTCGCAACAATACCGAAAATTTCACATATCGACAAATCGATGAAAATATCATATGTCAGGTACGCGTTTAGAATCGTTAAAATCTCGCGTAATTCACCAAATTTTTTGCAGAATATGTGACAATCTCACTGTAACGTTTCGCTGTATAACGAGACATGCCGATGTGTCGTCGCTCGCGCTCTCGTAACACAGTAGTAAAATATTCTTTGTTTTGCCGATGTTATATATATCGAGAACGTATAGCATCGCGCAGGTGTCCGAGGTATTTTTTCATTAAACGCGAATTCGACTCAAATAGAAACGCACGAACGATTGCGAACGCGGAAATAACATTTTGCGGCGCGGCTTCGCGCAAGGAAATCGAATTTCGAGAGCTCGAAAAGGATTCCTGTTGGCTGTTTTTAGCGGTAAAAAAATTAAAGGCCGCGGTAGCGACCGTTGCGTTAATTGCTTTAACTACACCACGGCTTCCGCGATTGACGATCTCGCGCTTATTAGGTATACCTGTAATTTCACGCTATATCAGAAATGTGCGAACGCACTGATTTTTTTTAACTTTTTAGTTTTTTGGTTTTAATTGATTTCTACAAAATTGGTTAAGATTTGAATAAGATAATATTAATTATTGTCACAAACTACAGATATATTAAATGAAAAACAATGAAAACAAATATATACATATAAAGACAATGTAATTTAAACATTAAAAAGTATTTTTTAATTTGAATAAATTTGATTATAAGAGCAAAGTAACAGTTTTTTATCTGATTTACCTAAATGAATTTATTTTTTGAGACCGTTTGTCAAATCGAACGTTGCATCGAAACTTTGCAATCGCCTTTATTTCTGGCGTGGAAATCAGTTTCGTTTAACGCAGCGAACGTCAAAGAACATCGCATTTTATTTGAGAACTTTATCGACGGATTGACCGAATTCTCTCGCTTGCTATACGAAAAAGGGAATTTCTTAGGCTGCTCTTCTCGCGGGATAAAGACGTGAAAAGATTCCAACGTATCGATTTCAGTTTCGAATGCGTAAATCCTTCTGGCGTCTCGCTGCGGTAAAACGTTCCTTTTTACGAGAACAAAAAATATTCATTCACGTCACGAATGACTTAATCAGAAATTCACAGAAAACATAAAGTTGAGATTCAACGTAGCGATGGTTCCTCAGTTTTTATACTCGTCGGACCTATAATGTCACACGCGACAATCGCTTGTGAATTTAACAAGAAAACATATCGCGAAATACATCGAAACAGAGAATCGCGCAAAATTGATTGACTTTTCAAATATTCCGCAAATTCCGGCAACTCATAAAACTTCCTACCAGTTACTCGTAGAAAGAATTTTTTTCTCGCTTCCTTCTACTGCTTATCTCATAAGAAGGTAACGAAACTCGCTTTCTTTCTCTCTTCGCACGTTTCCGGTTCCCTTTGTTTCACCCCGCATCCGCTTCCGTTGAATTTTACTGCGGAAAGTTTTATACAAATCTCAAGGGAGAGAATATGAATAATCCGAGAAATTATCCTGAGATTTAACCAAGGATCGAATGCTGCTTCGCGAAGACGTTGTAATTTTTAATTGCGATATAAAAAGAATATGAATAGAAAGAAAATATTCAGAAATATCGCGTTTGCACACTTTTAGAGATATTGTATACTTAAGAGTATATTTTAATCTATAAAGTATTTTTTTTAATATTGATTGTTATCTTCTCTTTCTGTAAAATTCATTTCACTTCTGATTTAAAGAGATCAGCGGACAAGCAAGTAGGGTTTCAGAAGATGAGCTATTTTTAAAAGGATAGGCCATACGCAAAGTGAAATCACGTAATGAGAAGCTTGAGCTCTTCTTCTAGACGACATTCTAAAATTTAAACTATCTCGCGCGAGGATTCAGGGCGGTAACATCAATCTTTGACAGCGTGAACATGAAGATGAGAGAGCTCCTGACAATCACTAAATTCTATCACGGGAGCGCATTAATGCCATAATGGAACAATCTAGTAGTACACGCGTCTCGGCGCTGGTTTGGATATCCGAATAGCTTTGTTGTGAATACGTGAAAATGACGTTCTATTCTCCTTTTTCTTTTTATCGTGCTTCTTAACAGGTCCGCACTGTTCGAGTAATTACCGAACCAGTTAACAAGCGAATTGAGAATTGAGAATTCTACGAAAAAACGTTCGCGCGATGGGATATCCATTAATACCCGGCGAGAGATCTGTCGCGTGGATTAAAAGAGAGCCGCGCGCGCAAATGGACGAGAGATTCCCCGAGGACGGACTGGATGGTGGATCGATGTTACATCCTCGGGGCGAACAGAGAAACCGAGAGGAGAGAGAGAGAGAGAGAGAGAGAGAGAGAGAGAGAGAGAGAGAGAGAGAAAGAGAGAAAGAATCTTTTAAAAAGGGGATGGATACTGTCAAACGAATAGTTTATTAGAATATAGGTCGTGCGGAATTACGCGACTCGCGCGTTTTGTTGCTCGAGCTCGGGGCGAATTCCGCGCGCGCATGCACACGGGTGCATAACTAACGTGTTTCAATTGAAAACATGCAAAAAGAAAAGCAACTTGTTCTTCGCGTTTTTCATATCGCCAGGTGCGACCAATGATGTGGTGCGTGTGTTCGTTTACAATTTCCGC